GCTTTCATCATCTGATAGAAATAAGTTGATGGAATTCACACTCAAAAAAAAAAAAAAAATTTCTAGCTGTGTGTACCAGAGCTGTAACTCCCTCTTGTGGAAATTGTATCATGTAGTAAGATTTTGAAACGGAAGGGTAAGAATTGTGAAATTGTCAGATGCCCCCACGGTCTCCGCCAAAGCACGTAAAACTTCTGCCTGACTTTTAATGTTGATGGAAGATACCTTTTCTGGTAACATGGTGGGTGTAGTCAGGTTTTTAAAGACAGCGTGGTGAGGAGGCTGAAGCAGGTACACTCAAGAAACTTTTGTTTTATTCCTGAATGTCCGAACTGGCATCGCTTTGCCTTCCAAACCTGTAAAGTGCTTTGCTGACCTTGTTTCTTGGCAGAAGAATAAATGGATGCTTGAGTTGCTTTCTGTATTGTAAGCATTAGAAGTCCCTTTCTAATGGCTCTTGGGTGTAGTATGGGTGAGTCAAGGCATTTGAATTTCAGTTTTCTGTAATGTATTATGTAAAGCAGGAGGTGCCAGAGCCGGGTCAGCACTTCTCAGTAATCCACACTTAAAACTTGTTTCAGAGGACCAAACTCTGAGTTTGAGCCATCCTCAGCAAAGCTGTATTTGAGCACCAGGGCGTCTTTAAAAATAACAGCGCTCTTTGCATTGCTTGTCTGTGTCTCTAGCTGCTAGGTGTTGCATGTGTTCTGCTTGCCTGGAGGTAAGCTGGCATTAAAAACTATGCCTGTGTGTCAGGCGTAGTGAACTACAAAACAAGGCTAAAAAAAGATCATGTAAACAACTGCTGGGTGGTTTTTTTTTTTCTGTTGCTTTTCTTTCTTATCTAAAAACAGCTTTCCAGCCCCAAAACAGAGCAATTGAAACAAAATATATTTTGAAAATTTATCTTAATTATAGTGTGCCAAATAAGCGCTATTTTAAAATACATTTGATGTAATTAAGACATTTTGAAAACTGTTCATAAATGTGAAGAACACAATTCTTACTCATTCTTCTGGCATTGCTTCACACCGTTACCTATGCATGCCTGGCTTCTGCTTGTGATTGTTCCTGATAGACGTCCCATTGAATTTTGGAGTACTGCAGTGTAAATGACACACCAGGAATCCAAGCACATAACTGAGCCTTAGAGTCATTATGTTCCCAAATTCCTGAACATGTTTATTTCCAATGCAAAAATGAGTTCTTTTGTGAATAGCACAGCCAACAGAACTTGGCATTCAGCAGACATAGGATTGCTGTGTGCCACCACAAAATCCGCTTGCACCTCTGCTACCTTCATCAGCTTGCCATCTCTGGTGGACAAGTATCTGCACCTTCGGACCCACCTGGAGCTAGGGGTGTGCTGTGCAGCTAGTTGCTTCCTGCTAGAGGAATGGACAGCTTAGTTTTCCATCACTGTGATGTCCTTAAGGCCTTTGCTCTGTTCTACCCAACATTATCTCTAGGAATTATAACACTGAAAGTTGTGTCTTTTGATCAACAGTTGTTTGTATCTCTTCAACGGATATGAAGACAGTGGGAGTAGGTCTGGTGGAAACTGGAAAAGACTGATGGACATCAATAGCATAAAAATTTCCTTAGATAGCCAGGCAAAAAGCTGCATCTTCATTTCATAAACAGTTTAGTATTTTCTTCTGGCAGATGTGTAACGCCTGTTACTGTGTCTTACCTCGAGAAAACTGATGAACATTTTGCTGTTATTCTGCATTAATTAGCATGGGGCTAGTCTCGTATTTGAGGATCATTGCTGTAATGATAGAAATGACAGTAAACTATTTTCTTGCTCTTCTTGTCTACTGTTTCTAAATCTTTGATTGGTTTCTTTAAAGAGAAATGGTTATTCGAACTCTCTCAAAGTTGTAGAGTTTTGTAAGTGAAGTATGGGTGGAATTAATAGTAATGTCCTTTTGCTTTGTTGATAATGTGCAAACTATTTCTCTACAGGTAGAAGAAGGCTGGTGGAGTGGAACACTAAATGGCAAGGCAGGGTTGTTTCCTTCAAATTTTGTGAAAGAATTGGAACTGACGGATGATGGAGAAACACAGGATTCTCTGGATGACACAGGTGGCATTCTGTTTGTTGTAAACCCTTAGCAAAGTCCTTTTAGATCTCAAGTATAATTTGGAGTGTTACAGTTGTAGTACAACAAAAATTGTAAATATTTCAAGCTTCCGAAGAATTTCCTCAGAAGATACTGATGCTGAGTATGAAGTTACAGGTCTTGCTCCAAATAGACTTCCAATAAAATTGCAGTCAAGGTCTTGATTTTGCAAATGTGTATTCTGCATATTATCACTAAAAATTTTATCATGTTCAGGGTTGGGGTTTTTTTTTTAGTATTGGATATAAAATTGTTCTTCCATTAAATAGCTTTTTTTCAGTCTTATTCTTGCAGAAAGTTAACATGAAAAACCTAAGTGCTTAACCATGTGGATTAAGAATTAAAAATTGAATCAAAACAGTATAGAGTGCCTTAACTTAAAATGAATCCTGGGAAGGGGGCCCTGGTTCTTTATTATGTTTTGATCTAACAAAATGTTTTTAAGACAGCATTTCCATTAAGCCATTCCTTTGTGGCTGTCTGTCTTGAGCAGAAGCAGCCAGTCTGTGAATGAACAGGAGCTGAGTGCTGAGTGGTTCCAGGCAGGTGCTTTACAGGCACTTCGCTCCCTAGAAACTGCACTTCAGGGGCGTGCTGTCCATAAAGACCTGTTTGAAGCTGGGTCTTGTGATATGATACTGCTGGAATGGGAATGTTGTTTGGGAACATCATCTTGTTGCAAGTTAATCAGTGCTTAAAGACAGCTCTGTAATGTTCAAGGGAAAAAGTGATTTTTAGTTTTATTTCTTGTAGTAATGTGCACCCTCATTTACAAGTTGTTCGGTACTGATTGTTTCAGTGCAATACTGGTGTCATTTCAAATTGTCTTAAGGGCATGTAGTGATAGGACAAGGGGCAACGGGTTTAAATTGAAAGCGGGGAGGTTTAGATTAGATATCAGGAAGAAGTTCTTCCCAGAGAGGATGGTGGGGTACTGGAACAGGTTGCCCAGAGAAGGTGTGGATGCCCCATCCCTGGAAGTGTTCAAGGCCAGGCTGGATGAGGCTTGGAGCAACCTGGTCTAGTGGAAGGTGTCCCTGCCCATGGCAGGGGGGTTGGACCTGGATGATCTTTAAGGTCCCTTCCAACCCAAACCATTCTGTGATTCTATGAAATATACAGCTAGAACAAATGTAACAGCTACAGTAATGTTCCTAGAAAAGCTGTTTAGAAGAGCAGTGCACACAGCTGTATTTCTTCCTCTTTTTTTTCCAGAAGAGCAAATAAATTATTTCTGGTATTTTAATAACTTTTTCTTTTTGACTTTCAGAGTCTGCTTTCAGTGGTCCTACCTCACCTGTGGTCTCTCCAGGAAATGGAAGTGAACCTGGATCTGGACCAGCACAGCCAAAGAAAATCCGAGGGATTGGGTTTGGAGATATTTTTAAAGAAGGCTCAGTGAAACTTAAGCCAAGATTATCCAGTAATGAATCAGAAGATAAAAAGCAAGATAAGGTTTGTAGCAGTTCACACTGTTGTTTTTGGGTGTCCTGACAAAATAATTTAAAAGATATGGAATCTGAGGACCTAATAGTTTACAGATGTGGAATACGCTGGCCACTCTAAAATTTGTCAGTATTGTACTTTAATCAGGCCATAATTATCTCACAGGGCTCTTGGCTATAAAAGAAAACAAACCCTCTCAACTTTCTTTCATAAAAAGTTATATTGATTCCGAAAGATCTATTCAGATGTCTTAGTATTTAAAAACATGAGAAGGAAAACCAAGCTGATATAAAAATTGTAGTTTCAAAGCCACGTGTCACAAAGCATACCTGCTCAAACACAGCTGCAGTACGAGGTCTCTCGTAGTTCTCCTTGTAACAGATTTTGTATAGAATCTGGGTCAAGACTGTTAAGCTTTCCTATGCAAATTAAACTTGCCCTTTAAAACAAGGAATATTTTGGCGTTTCTCTAGTTTTTGGTTTGGGTTTTTTCCGTGTTTTGGTGATGTTGAGATTGCTGTTCTAGGTGTCAGCCATCACTACCCATGTAAGAGTCCCGCAGTGAGTGCTGTGAAGCTTGTGGCTTTGGTGATGTCTGGTTAATGAGCTACATAAACTGATTGTCTAAACCTGAAAAATACTGTCCTACAGTTTTGATCCTCTTTCATTTTCTTTTTCCACTTTTTTATGAGTGGGAAGAGGAGCACTTTTATTCTTTATATTGAACCTGAAGCTTAGTGGAGAGCAGACAATGCGGTGGTAGCAAAATTGCTTTAGTTTGGGTTTTATTTTGATCTGAACCCAAGAGCACAACAGTAATACTTAGTCCCTCATCTTGAACTTACACATCGCCTATACCAAGAGCTTATGTATGGATTTTGAGCCTTTGAGAAATTCAAGGCAGCTGAGGTAATCCAGCGTTGCATTTCTTACTCAGATGGTTGTTTCAAGAAAGCTTTTAAAACCTCTGTCCAACTTCAATTTTATTGTCTGTGGGTTATGGTCATGAATGCTGTTTTGACTGATTTGCTTTCCTCTGCGGCTGCAGAAATTGCTGTAATGGTGTAGGGCAAAAGGGGGGTTGAGTCCCTGGGAAGAGGGTGGGGACAGAGACTTCCTTGAATGTATTTTCCCTCTGTAGCAGTACTAAGAGCAGTGCTCATCCACCTGTATCATGGTGCGTGTCCTCTTCGTTTCTGGTCCAGTCAAAACATCAGATGATTGAGAACATGAAAGTTCCAAGAGTGTTGCCATCTGATTAAGGCTTTGGGAATGTTATTTCCTAAGGAAGATGTTGTTCAGCTTGGAGAAGAGAAGGCTCAGGAGCCTTCAGACTTATTGTGTCCAGTATATACAGGGGCTTATAAGAAAGATGGAGACTTCTTATCGAGGTCTGTATTGATAGGACAAGGGGCAATGGTTTTAAACTGAAAAAGGGTTAATTTAGATTGGACATCAGGAAGAAATTCTTCCTGGAGAAGGTGGTGAGGCACTGGCACAGGTTGCCCAGAGAAGCTGTGGATGCCCCATCCCTGGAAGTGTTCAAGGCCAGGCTGGATGAGGCTTGGAGCAACCTGCTCTAGTGGAAGATGTCCCTGCCCATGGCAGGGGGTTGGAATCGGATGGTCTTTGAGGTCCCTTCCAACCCAAACTGTTCTGTGATTCTGCGAGGGCACATTGATTTTCCTTGGTTCTCTTCAGGCTTTGGCCCTTAAAGCAGGAGTCTGTGAGATCAATACATCCTTGTATGAATGCTGTTAGGACTAGGGTTTCAGGACCTAGCTTTCAGTTTATTTTTTTTTGTCCTGAGCTTGGTCATTCAAAAGTGTGTTTCTCTACTTTCTACCTTGTCACTTGGGAGTATAAGGAGCTGATCTAAAATATGTTCAGTTAATGTGAAGTCTGCTCAGAGACTTTGAATTGGTATTTGACTGCATATAAACACTAAAATATGTTGGCGCACAGTTTTGTTAGTTGGCTTGTCTGGAAAGCTGTTGTAGTCTGCTTCTCAGCAGGAGAGGAAATGAAGTGAGAAAAGTTTTGTAGAGCTTAAAGACAATGAAATCAACAGTTGAGTTTAGCACTCAGTATTCCATTTATGTTTGTGGCCTAAGTCATCCCAAAGGCAGACAGATTTAGAGAACAACCTGGAGAGCCCAGGGAGGTAATTCTGATGAGGGTCTTGCGAAAATGGATGGCTTCTTTGGGGTTGTGCTCAACTCACTTTGGAGTTAGAGGGATGCTGGAAGGGCATTCTTAGTCTTTAAGCTAGTAAAAAAAAAAAATCTGTCATCAGGAAACTAGAGCAGAGAGGGCTTCTTTTCCTTGGGGAATTTGGAGGCTGTTTAGCGCAGGAAGGCTGAGCACTGATGTATCTGAAGTGCTTAAGAGTATATATGCTCCTTCAGGAGATTGTTAGGTTTCAGCTGGTCCCAGCAGCCTGCCTGGCCTCAGGCTATTTATACCCTGTCTGCCTAAACTTCCCCTCTCACTTCTAATTGCATCTCGATTTGGAATGAGGAAATGTAGAGAACTATTTCCATATTGGACATGTTTAGTCTCATAGGTGGGGTATTTTAGTGCTTCCTTCATAGAGCATTTTGGAGCGAGCTAAATTGCATATATGCTCCCAGAACATCCCAAGTGACTGTGGCTTCCCTGATGGTATGCCAGAGGTACCAAGCACCAGCCCACAGGCATCACCTGGTTTTAAGGAGAGTGAATCTAGTTTCTCTGGCAGTGGAAAATCTGCGAAGTTTAGCTGTAAATGAACAGAGTAACTAAAGGCAATAGGATTTTTCACATCAGTAACTCTTACGGCTGCTCAGTAAGTACCGACTGTAAGATCATATTCTCTGTGTGTAGCTCATAAGGCTGTGAAGAAGTGGCTGCAGCTGAAGCTGTCTGAACCTTCCTGACAACTCAGTAAGGCTCCTGGGGGAAAAAAAAATAAATTGGAGCACTTATTTGGCTTAAATGTTAACTCAAACTTGTTACTAGTTAACCTTGTTACCTCTGTGGTTTTTTGGTTCAGGAGGAATCTCTAGTGACCTCTATCTGTTCTCATTCTGTTCTGTATGAATTGCTAAGAGTGAAGGGAAGCTGGGCTGGGCTTTCATGTGCTCTTACATTTGTCTGAGTAGGTAGGAACTGGTGGCCTCTTCCGCTGAGGTGGTGTAAGGCTACTGACTCTTCCTGCTTTATTCCAGTGCAGAGTCAGCCTGGTCAGTGAGTTACTTTCATCAGAGCTGTTAAATAACCGCTTCTGTGCTGGAGGAGGCAATTTTCAGGATAATGGCACAGTAACACTTGGAACTGCTGAAAGACGATCGCAAAAGTGTACCTGGCAGTGTTCTGAGACAGGTTTCCAGTTTGAAAGCTGTGCTGTGTCCTCAATCAGTAGACAAAGTTCTAATTGCGGTACCTGTAATGAAGTTAAGTACTTAATGGGAAAGCTCATTGAATCTCTTGGCGATAGTTATTCGCATCATCTCAGCTAATGAAAACCTGAGTATGTCCAGTAGCCTAATCAAAAGTAAAACTCAACGGACTTCTGCTAACGAGGTTCTCTTTTGTTCATACAGCCGTCACCTAACCATGCCCCTGGAACAAAGCTAATTCATTTTCCCAGTACAGCAAAAACAGAAAACTCATCAGAAGTAGTAAAATCAGAAGCTGAAAGCAAACCAAAAGGTAAGGCTGATGGAACTTTACATCTATTACTTGGTAGTCCTCTCTAGAGAAGTATTTGCTTGTCACATTGTGTGTTAAAATTTTGAACTTTTGTGTATACTGGGGTTTTGTGTAATGTTCTGTACCTTTAAGGAGTTAGCAAATGTAAAAGAGTCTGAAGGGGTTTTTGCTTGCATTTCTGTGTAAAATGAACCACAGACATTAGAAAGGTGGTATCCCAGAACAAAAAAAGGCTAGGGTATGAAGTTTTATTGCAGCAGCCCCTTTGCATTAATATGCTGGATTGGTGTGCTTATTCTGACTTTCTGCCTAGCTTTTAGTGCTCAGCTGGGACACTGAAAACTTACAACTGTGGAACAGTCCCCTAACTCCCTAAGCTACAGGAGTGACTCTCTAGGCTCAGGATTCACTGCAGAGTTGCTAGTGGGTTGTCAAAACTGTATGCGAGGCTTTTTGCATCAGAAGTTTGGTGCTTGTGTTTTGTTGAAGTCTGCTCCCTACATAGTCGAGTTCCATTGTGGTTCTCTTTATATTCTCCTGGTCTAGTGGAAGGTGTCCCTGCCCATGGCAGGGGGGTTGGAACTAGATGGTCTTTAAGGTCACTTCCAACCCTAACCATTCTATGATTCTATAATAATTTGGGTTTTATTTTTCTTTTTAATTATCTCTTAAGAATTCATGACTTCATTTAACTATCAAATGGCACAGCTTTATCTAGAGAGATATTTTAAGTCAACCCAAAACATCGTGTGGGAGTGCCAACCCCATATAACAAATTAACTTCAACTGTGTGATATTCAGACAGCTCATTTCGTCTGGTTCCAGAGCAGACTTTTTTTTGATTTGCGTATTGTAATTTCAAGTGTATTTGTTTTATGCGGAAATACCTTATTTTGGCATAAGTGGGTTGCTTTACATGGACTGTGTAATTTGCAGAAATAAAACTGCAATAAACAATTGACTTTCTGCCTGTGTTCAGGATCTGTGCAGTCTAGCACAACAGGGCACTGGGAAGGGCAGGTTCTGAGCCCTGGTTTATCTGTAGCTGTAGCAGTATAAAGGGCAGCTGTGCCATTTTAGCCATATTTTGGCTCGGTTGAATTGGATAGCTTTAACTACCATGACCGTGTTTACAAACAGCTGATTACTGTCGAGGAGTGTTTGATAGTAATGGCTTGAGAGTAGTTACTATTTAAGTTTTGCCACTGCAAAGCATATATCAAAAGCTTGTGTGTGATGGATTCGATGGAAGTTCATGTTTACTTGCAGCTTGGAAATCTTTACTAAACATCAAAAGCGGGATAGTCTTGGGTTCTGTTTTTTAAACCATTCCAGAGTTATTGCTGTAGGAGCCAGCAAGACGATGTGCAGGCCTGAGCTCACCTGTCTAAAACTTTGCATAAAAATTATCCCAGGTCTGCCTGAAAAATCTCAGTGTTCAGTACTTAGAACATTCAGTATTTAGCTTTTCTCATAATTTAAGGTGCATCTCATGCTGAAAGTATAGCAATTGGACTAAGTCCAGTAGCCAAGCTAAAACTCTGTTCCCCAGAGAATGAATCATCAGACAGGAATTTAAATATGATGGTAATAGATGCTGTAGGAGAAGATCAGTAGACGTTCCTAAATGATGTCTACAGGTATTATCTCAACTTTGGAGAAAGCTTTTTTTCTTTCCTTAGTGTTTTTATTTTCATATAGACCATATTATAGTTTATATGTAATCATCCTCAGTTTTGAGAGAGCAAGCTTAAAATAAACTGGGTTCAATATGTTAGCAAATAAACAGATCTCTAGAATGTTTAGACTGCTGTGGCTGATTTTTGCGGTGGGGCTCTGCTATTTCTGGGAAGCTTGTTTTGGCCTCTGGTGCAAGTATGTGAAAATATTTTTGTTGAAAGAAAATAATCACAATTTGACCCCTCTTTCCCCCCATTATGATAGCAGGACCACAGATGTTGTATTGTACTGTATTGTTAGTCCCGAGTCTTCAGTGCAGATTCAGTTTTAGACTATCTTTTATTAAAACTGCTTACTGAAGTTCTTACTGTTTTATAAATACCATCTTAGACTTAAAAGCTGAAGAGTTAAGCTGGACTCCTTCATCTTAACCACTGGCAGAATATCGCGCTCACAAAAAATGCCGAAGTGGTGATTTGTATGTACGTGTAACATACATGCATGAGTTTCTCTGGTTCCCAGCCTGGCACATACGGGGACCTTGTCAGTCTGCAGGGTGCAGGGCTCCCCGTCTCCAGCCTTCTTGGCAGCTGGAGCAGAGTGAAAGGTTCCCTTTCTGGCAGAGTTTTGTCAGTTGTGGGACGTGGTGGGTGTGAGGAGGGGAGGCTTGGAGAGGAGGGGATTGTGTAGCACAGCTGTACAAGGTGTCCCTGCCCATGGCAGGGGGGTTGAAACTAGATGATCTTTAAGGTCCCTTCCAACCCAAACCATTCTGTGATTCTATGATTCTACTGGCCCCACGCAGTAAGGAGATGCATGCATATGTACAGAAATGTATTACACTTGTGTTACACTTATTCATTACTAATGAATAAAATCCCCGAATTTGATAGGTATTTGTAGTGTACCTGTTGAATTTTTTTTTTAGTTAGTGTGGTTTGTTTTTTTTTGGTGGTGGGAGGAAGGGAGGACCTTAATTTAAACATGATTCTGCTTGTGTTTCTGCAGTTCTTCACAAATGACAGTATAGTCTATCTATCACTGAACATCTTTGATCACTAGATAAGGAAGTAAAATAACCCAAGTTCTTGTACCTAGGATTACTGATGTTGCTCTATATCTCTGTATATCTATATATATCTGTGTCTGTTGATCTTTGGCATACTTTTGTATTTTAGCAGTGGCTGGCACTGACCAAGGCAGATGTGTATTTAAGAATACAATTTGCATGTTCCTTTAACTACAGTTTTATGTTTTGATGAAACAAAATACATCAGCAACAAAGATTCAATTGCAACTCGCTCATCTATTTCCCTGCCATCCAGCAAAAGGCAGTTAACTTGCCAACGCTGACTTGGTGTTGTGCTATTAATCTGACTGAGGCTTGATGCAGCCTCTCACTTGTGTGATGTGTGTCATACCCGATAGCTTATGGCAGCACATTAGAGTTTGTTTTGATTGCTTCCTCTTCCTTAATCAGTCAGATACAGAAATCTGGCCTTTTTATCTGCTAAATAATTTTAAAGGTGAAAGAATTCTTTGCAGTCAAAACTTTTATATGAATGTATTTTAACCTTTCTCATGCTGTTTTTATTCTAGTGTGGGAAAGGAAAACAAATCCTCCTGCCTCTTTACCTGAAATAATTATCACAGTGCAAAATGGCTTAGTTATTGAACTGTATCAAATGGGAAGAAAGGAATTGTTCTTTCTACTTTTTGCAGAAGAGGCTGTGACTGTCTGAGTTCATCACTCAGATGAGCTCTGTTTTCGGGTGCTCAGCCAAGGAATTCCTTTCCTTCAGTTATTTGATTTCATTGGAGAATTTCAGCAAATGTGCTGCTTGGGTATTTGAGGTTTCTGTAGTTGTTCTTGTTAATAAAGGATGTCACCTTGAAATAATTACATGTATTTGACTGGGATTATAAGTTTGAAATTTAGCTCAATTTTGAGAAAATATGTAAACTCTCAATTAAAAGCTTGAAACCATTTTTGCCTAACCTAGTTTAAAATAGAGTGCTGTGGGGAGGGTTAGATAGGCTGTTATAATTTTAACTGAGTAGGCTCCTCTCTTCTCCCTTGAAACCAGAGTGCTTGAATTAAGGTGCTGTTGTGGAAAAAAATGTTTTAAATCTTTTATCAAGTCAGTATTTTAACCTCTATCTCCATTACTCTGAAAATATATTATCTTATTTTTCCTATGATATGAATGACAGTGAACATTTGCAAAGCAGTCTCAGGTGGCTGGTCTAGAAGGGAAGTAGGAGTATGGTGATTGTCTCTGCTATCTGTTTGTTACTACCCGTGGTGTGCAAGTGTAGTAGTAATTGTGCCTCTTTGTTTCAGCCAAGGAATATTGCAGGACAGTATTTTCCTGTGAAGGCTCAAATGATGAACTCGGTGTTAAGGAAGGCGAGACCGTTCAAATGATCAGTAAGGTAAGATGTTCGGTCTGCTTTAACCATTCGTATAGCTTTTGTGGGTTTGGTACAGGTAGGTCTTGTAAAAATGTGAAAGCAGGAGTGTCCTTTGGAGTGGATGCTCTCCTAGACGGATTTGTTTCATGTGAGGGTCAACTCTTTGCTTCTGCACTCTGTGGAGACACAGATGTCCTTGAAGATTGTTCCAGAGTGGGAAGTTATCTTCAGTTGCTCAGTCGGGTCAGTGTACACTCAGTACCAAATGCCTTTTCAGTGAGGAAATTGGAAAAGCTTTGCCAATAGCCCCCTTACCTTCAGCATTTCTACCTTTTCTCTGGTGATGTACTGGGCTGACCTAGAGGTGGTGGTTGGGAAGTATTATGGTGTCAAAAAGCAAGAAATTAAGATCTGTACTTACTGATTTTGCTCAGTTTTTTTTAATTACAAAAAAGGGTTTTCTGATTACAAAAAAACCCCATAGCAAATGTTGGCAGTAGGCGAATGAAGTCCAGGTGTTAGAGACACTTGGTATTTCAGAATAACCATACAGAAGTTAATGATACTCTCTGGCTATTTAGACAAACATGACTGTTTAGTTGAACTGTATTTGTGTTGAATATTGAAAATACCTTTTTGAGAGGTCATCTTGTTGTAGAGATGGTATTAAACAAGAAATAAACCTACCCATACTTAATTTCCCCGCAGTACTGTGCAGTCTTTTGTTAGTTTATATGCTGCTATATTAAGGAATAACAACTTTTCTGAAACACGTGTAAAGTTTGTTTGGTTTGTTTCCAGTTTTCAAACAGTTGCAGAAGAAAAGTGATGCTTTTTTTCTTTAGGAGGATTTTAAGTTTGTGGAAAAGAGGGTTACTTTTCTTGACAGGAAAATTGATATTATTAGTATTACTGACTGCAACGGCACTGTCAAAGTTATTGGAGGCATTTTTAAACACAACAGCCCTTGCCCCAGGGGATTATCTTCATTGAATCTTACGCCTTTTTATACCTGTCCTTTTAAAACCAAAAAGGACCGCTGTCCTTTTTAAACCAATTTACCCAAATGGATGTTGATCGAAACGGGAATGAAGGAGAGTTACCCAGAGCAGAGCTCTCCCTCCAAAACCATCTTCTGAAGTCTGAGCATATCGATGTAATTGTCAGGTGGCTGACTCAGTCCAGGTTTTGACCTTGCAAGTGTTACGGTATTTTCTTTCAGCACATTCACGCTGTGTAAAGCCTGACCCCTCAGCCATTTCTCTTCTGTTTGTTCTGCGTGTGGTCATTTTCCATGGAGTGTCTCTGTCTTGCTGACATGCCTCAGCACTGTCTAAATGAAGTTCAGCAATAGTTGCACTAGCCCATTCGTGACTGCACATGCCTCAGTTTGGACTCTGCAGTACTTTATTGAAAGGGTGATGGAGAGAGGAGTAAGAGAGAACTCTACCAAACTTTTACTCTCGGCACTAATTGCCTATTCAGGTCTCTTTCCAATGTGGTGTGGGATTTTTAAAAAATTATATATTTTATTGTTTCCCCTCTCCCTCATCTGTTCAGTGTCTCAGCTGAACTGAGTGCTGAATTCTCCTTGTGTACAGAACTTTGGGATGAACTGCTTGGTGCTGGTAGCAGTGGCACATATCAGCAGTAATGCACTTGGATTTGTGGAGAGGAGTGGCATCTGCAGTATTTTGGATCTGAGGCAAAGGGGAAAGCTGTTATTGATGCTGCTATAATATTTAAATGATGTTGTACTTTGTCATGGACAAACCAAGGCCTCAAACCTGTAAGATCATGTAATAGATTTCTGTGCCACTCCGTATTTTTTTTAGTTTGTCCTAATGTGGTTATTTTTTCCCTCAGTAGGATATAGTACCCATCTTGCTGCTTCAGCCTTTTCAGACCAGTGGAACTGATCAGAGTCACTTTTATTTAGAATCATAGAATCATAGAATGGTTAGGGTTGGAAGGGACCTTAAAGATCATCTAGTTCCAACCCCCCTGCCATGGGCAGGGACACCTTCCACTAGACCAGGGTGCTCAAAGCCTCATCCAGTCTGGCCTTGAAGACAGAAGTTTAGTAGAATTGTGTGGTGCTCCAATGACACTTGAAGTATTTACTGAATAAGAAGTTGTCGATCAAGGAAGTTGAGAACATTGAATGTTGTGTGTTGGGTCATAACTGGTTTTATGTGCTTTCCTTCTGTTTGCAGGTCTTATCCTTATACCCTTATCTTATATATGATGCAATATGATTTCATCCTGCCTTTCAGAACAACAAACAAAAAGTGACCAAACCTGATCTGATCTGTAGCCATTTCCCCTTGCTAAGGTGTCTAAAGTAGTGTTATAAATGCAGTATTTCAGACAAACGATTACTTTGTATTGTGGGTAAAAGCAAAACCACTGCTCTTGTAATTGTATCTGTCCTGGGGAAGAAGTAAATATTGATTTAAATGTTCTGTTTGTTTTAGGACACTGGAGAGCCAGGCTGGTGGAAAGGAGAACTCTGTGGTAAAGAAGGAGTCTTCCCAGATAATTCTGCTGTTCAAATACAAGAGTCTTTATCAGACTTCCCTGTAAGTTCTCACGCGTGTCGTTTATTAACACAAAAGTATTGATGGAAATGCAAGCAATAAAAGACTTCAAAGCACATTATGCTGCTTAAAATATTAATAGAATTGTGGCAGTGTTTAACTTTATCCTATATTACCTATATTGAAGAAGAAAGATTTAAAGGCTAGTCTTTGTGTTAAATTCCTCCTTAAACTGAGACATGCTTGTTGAGATAACTGTAATTAATGAGGATGATTACATCATATAGAAAAGAATATAGTTCTGATAACGTGGTGTTGTGTAACTGATTACTAAATTAAACCCTTACTGTTTTGGAAGGAGATAAGCACTTGGTCACTTCCATTTCAGTCCTGTAACTATAATTTCAAAATGATGAATGACCCCTGTGGGACCCACTAGGATTTTTCTGTGTTAAGACTTGCCAGTAGGTTGCAGTGTGTGAAGGATAACTTTAGGGTGGGATCTAGAAATAATTTTTTCATCATCTGGTGTGGTAACTTGTAGAAATCCATGTTGTCATGTGGTACTCCTTTGTCTTTTAATTTTGGTTCTTATTTATGTTTTCTTTAATTGAGATTAGTGGGATGTTTGCTTCTGACAAGTTTGTGTAGCAAAGATGGTTGTGTTAATTCACAATCATACGTCATCCCCAGATGGGACAGATTCAGCTCCAGATCCGGACATCTAAATGTTGAAGCCCTGTATTTCAGCAGAACAGAGTTTCATGGTAATTTAGTGTCATCTGGTCTGGAATTTGATACAATCATAGAATCATAGAATGGTTTGGGTTGGAAGGGACCTTAAAGATCATCCAGGTCCAACCCCCCTGCCATGGGCAGGGACACCTTCCACTAGACCAGGTTGCTCAAAGCCTCATCCAGCCTGGCCTTGAAGACTTCCAGGTATGGGGCATCCACAACATCTTTGGGCAACCTGTGTCAGTGCCTCACCACCCTCTCCATGAAGAATTTCTTCCTGATATCTAATCTAAACCTCCCTGATTTCAATTTAAACCCGTAATTCACAGAGGAATACTAGATACAATCTGACAGAGAGTTACTAACTTAGTATTTAACCTCAGTTACCTAACATACACAGAAAGTCTAGTTATTCCAAGTCAATGTTTTCTAATTGGTTCTCAGCTTTGCAAGGATGGCATAAATGCTGTAACATACAGCTGATGTCATTTGAGGGGTAGGTGTTATCATTCTTTGGCAATACAGAACAGCTCCCTTGAGAGAAAAAAAAAAAATATTCTTTTACCTTAAACAGTGTTTCCTATAGGCAAACCTTGCTTTGATCCTTTATTCTGCTTTGTGCAGTGTGTCTCAGTACAGGGATTCACCTTGCTCTGAGCAGCTTTGAAGTTCAGGGCATTGGTTGGCTGATAACTGTAATGAGCTATTTGATATCGACTTAATAAAAACACGGGTCAGAGTCATGTAACTGTAAGCTGATGCTGAACTCAGTGTTGTTGGTTTTGATACAGGCAGCAGTGCTGCACAGCTCGATAATGTGTTTGCTTTTTTTGGGAAAGAAAATACAGTCTTGTTATTTAAGTTCACCAGCTTTTGTGTTCTCTGAAACCAGAGAAAGAAATCTAGTATGAGTTTTCATGCCAGCTTAATTACATTTCACTTGTCAGAACAAAATCTTCCTGCATTAAGAAGAGCTTATTCAATATCAGTAGGAGCATGGAAGTGAAACCCATCCACAGCAACTCTTTCAAAACTACCCACTGCAGGCTGTATTAGACTGACCCCAGATGATTTCAGCAGTGTGTATATAAAGAACAAGTGTTTTTGTAGCTTTTTGTGATCATCTTATCAGGGAGTTGTGTCCTTAGTACAATCACAAAGACACCTCTTCTAGACCATTTCTATGAATCGGATTCTGAGAATGAGGTGGCTTGAGATGTCTGTCCTGAGAGCTGCCAGTATTCCTTCAGTAGGAGACGGATTCAAATTTGATTTTAGCAGTTTTAGGAAAAGTGATGAATGACTGGTTTTAAATAGTTATTTTCAGTGTATAACCTCTGGCAGTGTAATAGTTTGTAAATTTTTAATGGCTAGAATAATTTTTCCACCCCTCCCACTTAAGTGTACAGTGATAAGGAAACTTGAAAGTTTTTCATATAACTGCAGTGTTAGTGTTGCAAATAATAACTGGTGGGTTTTTTTTAGGCTGTTGTAATTTACAAGTCAGTTAATTGAAGTGGTTCTTCTGAGACTTAATTGATAACTTCTTTTAAGTGAAAGTGATTGGTTTTGGTTCAAAAACTTACCCGGTTGCTCTTTTAAACTTGCATTTTACTAATATTGAGGTTTACATATTGAAATAAAAGTGGGTGCAATTGGAGCAATTCTTAGGACTAGAAAAGATGTAACTCATAGTTTTTTAGTTCTTTGTACCTCTGCTGCTTATGCAAGTTGCTGCAGCACTGATCTGATTTGAAGAAAACTGCTTTTTGTTCTTGTTTTTGCAACTGGTTGGCTGGAAGATATCAGAGGAATTACTCCAGTTCTGTTTCCTCTCTGTGAATTGATTGCCTCCTTTGTGAAATACTTTGAAGTGAGCTAGTAAACAAGCTAGGTATTGCAGTATGTGAAACAAAACACAAATACATCTGTTTTCTGTAGAGAATATCTGTTTGTTCACTTGACACTTTTTTTTTAATTTTGCAGAAGCCAAAGAAACCTCCGCCTCCAGTTAAAAACCCAGGTACATGGTATATTTATGGTGGTACATACCTGAGGAAATAGAGATTTGGGAAGCAATGCCTGACTTCAAAAGCAAATTCAGAAGTAGCTTTGCATTTCCTAGTAATGCAGCCTTTCATAATAAGTTTGAGGTTATTTTTTTATGCTTTACGTATTTTGCTGCTGCTATATATATTTCAAAATTATGATGGAGCCTGCTTTGGAAACATTTTAATACAGACCTACCTTTTTCTGGGCTCAAAAGAGTGTTTATAAATGGTATGACACTCCTTGCAAAGGAGAAAGTATAAACACAATTTGGTGTATGTCTTATTTTTAGTTAGTGACTAAGATAATTTAAGCTCTCTGAGAAATGTCTATCGTTTGCTTTTGCATTCAGCTCCAAAGCCTGAATTGCCTGCTGGAGAGAAGAAAGTCCCTTGTTTGAGGCCTGAGGAAAAAGGTGAGACCAGTTTTCTTCATAGCGAATTTCAACCTATTCTTTTGTGAACAAGTTAGTTTTTAGCTTGGCTGCTCTGTGTAAAAGCTGCCTGATCAGAAGTTGTCATACAGATTCTCTCAATACTATCTACTGAAGTTCTCCTGTTGTGACCTTATGGTGATGTGTTTAGGGTGATTAGAACAAGCACCACACTTATGCAGTAACAGGCAATACACATTTCTTTACATTCTGAAAAATGTTCATTGCAGTGCATAATAACATAGTTACTACTTAAGCCATTTAGGTATAGTTCTGTGATAGTCGCTGCAGTTTAGAACAGTAAGTTACTACAAATGAAAATGTTCGCTGCTGCTTCTGCTTTGGCCAAAATCAGTTTCTGATGAGAAGAGAAATACACAGAAGAATTGCAACACTTAGACAGATGTTACAGTCACACTGCTCAGAAATTAAGATTTCTTCTCCTGTTCATTATTGCTATATTCAGTCTTTTCCAGTTCCACAGAATTTGGGGATATTTACCACTTTATTCTTAAAATCTAAAGGTGCCTTTTTTCAGAAGACAAGCTACTACTGTCACCCGAACAAACTTCTAAAACGCTGCTTTTCATATTTGAAAAACTTGGCAAGGGAAACTGTTAAAATGCTTTATGTTAAAAGTCAGAAGCTTAAAGAATACCAGTGGTTGGGTCTTAAAGAAGAAATTCTGTTACTGCAGCTTAACGTTATTACAAAAACATACTGTGAGTAGTGGACTGTGGCTGACCATGGCTAAACAGCATTTTGACAAGTAAGCCTGCTCGATGGGTTTCTTGGCTTCCTTGGGCAGTTTTTGTAACCCACAGTTTAAACACCATGTTCTCACGTGTTTCATATGAAGAATACTTGTCAAAATTAGCTATGTTTCCTCTGCATGTGAGCAAACAAGTTATCTGTTGAAACAGTAACTTCATGTGTGAATTGAGATGAACTATATGATTCTCTAAATCTTGATCACTTGGCTCATAATAAATTTTAAGTTTATTTGAACTGAAGTAAGCTTAATTTTAGACTGGTTCTGTTTGTATTGTGGTGTTAACCTTTGCATAGTTGAGTTCAGCTGTTTATGGTGGAATATAGGAAAAAAATATTGAGTGACACTATCCAAAATGCTTAGGAACGTGAAAGCTGCTGAAAAATGAAGTGAGTAGAGAACCATCCTTTACTGTAATACAGGAAATGGTGGAGTAAGGTTGTCTTCAGTTGAAGGCCGGGTCTTAAAAGTTACTTGTTTAGGTAGCAGTAGTGTGTTACTAGAAGAAATGCCTGTTTATCACTGCAGTTTTACTTCTGGTAAAATAACCATGTTGATACTAGTGAATAAATTCATTAAGTATGAAAATGTACTGTAATTAGTTTTATAAAAATACATTGAGCAGCTCTAGTCACAAACTATCAAGCCATGTAATTTTTTTTTTTAATCCCTTGGGAGGTGCTTTTAGGAATCTAATAAATCTGCCTCTAATTGCAATCAAAAATGGATGAAAAATGAAAAGCAATACTGTATTTCTGTACTTATAGTTGTCGTGGTTTAACCACAACTGGCAACTAAGCACCACACAGCTGCTCTCTGCCTCCCCTCACAGTGGGATGGGGGAGAGTCGGAGGAGTAAAAATGAGAAAACTTGTGAGTTGAGATAGTCAGTTTAACAGGTAAAGCAAAAGCCCTGCACACAAGCAAAGCTACCGGAGGAATTCATTCACCACTTCCCATGAGCAGGAAGGTGTTCAGCCACCCCAGGAAAGCAGTTCCACCATACGTAGTAGTTACTTGGGAAGACAAACGCCATCACCCTGAATGTGGGTCCCCCCTCCTTCTTCCCCAGCTTTATATGCTGAGCATGATGTCACATGGTATGGAATATCCCTTAGGTCAGCTGTGGTCAGCCATCCCAGCTGTGTCCCCCCCCTGCTTCCCCAGCTTCCTCACTGGTGGGGTGGCGTGAGAGGCAGAAAAGACCTTGACTCTGTGTAAGCACTGCTCAGCAGAAACAAAAATACCCCTGTGTTATCAACACTGTTTTCAGCACAAATCCAAAACACAGCCCTGTGCCAGCTGCTGTGAAGAAAATCAGTTTTACCCCAGCCAAACCCAGCACAATAGTGAGACACTTAGTGCTGTCATGTAGAAATTTTTGTCCGGTGTAAATGTCTTCAGATGAGTATTTTTATTTCCACTATTAAACTGCTCATTTTTAGCCAACCCTTATCTTTTTAATTATGGAGCAAAATCCAAAAAAGAGGCATGCCATTTTCTCCAGCAGAGTTGTCCCATTTCTGTGCTTGTAGTGAGTCTTGACCTTTGGTATTAACTTTTTCCACTTACCTGTGGATGGTTTTTATATTTAGGCTTTGAGTGGGAGTTGCTGAAAGGAAAACTGACAGACGATAATTCTCGAATGCTATTTGGTGACAACATTATTTTTTCTGCCCTGTTTATGACCTCGCTTATTCTGAAAAACCAAAGGCATAGTTCACAACTTATGTGCAGCACAGCTAAAGCAAAGCTAACTGATCTTCGGTAACACTATCTGCTGTTGGGCATGTAAAACTTAGGTCTTGTATATGTAACATCGGTAGGCAGACGTGGCTCCCCCGGTAACGGGCTGTTTTAGACAGGATGGTCAGCACCACCATGTGGCAAAACCCTTCCACTACTACAGTATTTTTTTAACTCGGTGCTAAGAGACTGGAAGGTGATGCCAACCAGTTCAGTTCTTTAATTTGTATCTCCTAAAGTTCAAATGTCCTTAAGCAGGAAAACTTTTCTACCCCGAATAATGCTTTTTACCAAAGTATTTCTATAATCTGTTGCTTCCAAGTATTCGTGTGAAAGAAAATCAGTGTGTTCCCATTTTACAGTTGGAGGGCTGACAATGGCATAGCACTTGTCCAAAGGAATTCAGTCTTAGACCTAGCAGTGAAGGTGCTTAGCTGGAATGCAGCTGAAGCAAATTTCCAACCCTACCCCAAAATCCTTAGTGTATGTAAACATTTTACATCAGACTAATACTTGGCTAAAAGCACAGTCATAGAAGGGGAGGATGGGGAGAAGCCGAAGGTCAGTGTCTCCATCCCAATTTACTGATTTATTGCCCTGTAAGGGCAGTAACTGTAAAGAACCGTAACTCCTTACTGTAACCTAACAATAACCTTTTAAATCCTCAGTACTTGATGGATGCCTGCCTGAGCTGGAGCATAGCTGTACAGGGAATGGTAGAAGGTATGCCCTGGGTATCCCACAGGCTGTGATTAGGGCTGAAGACTAGTCAGGTGTTGTTTGTGAGACAGCTTGAATTTCTTACTGTCCCACACATTATATGTCAGCTCTTCTGGACCGTGTTCAGTTAGGTCATGCAGTATTGAACAATAAATTTAGTTTTTTTGTTTGATTATCTATATCATAGAATCATAGAATGGTTAGGGTTGGAAGGGACCTTAAAGATCATCTAGTTCCAACCCCCCTGCCATGGGCAGGGACACCTTCCACTCGACCAGGTTGCTCAAAGCCTCATCCAGCCTGGCCTTGAACACTTTCAGAGATGGGGCATCCACAGCTTCTCTGGGCAACCTGTCCCAGTGCCTCACCACCCTCTCTGTGAAGAACTTCTTCCTGATATCTAACCTAAACCTCCCTGTTTTCAATTTAAACCTGTTATCCCTTGTCCTGTCACTACAGGCTCTTGTAAAAAGTCCTCTTTTATAAAAAAGTCCTCTTCCTTATTTTATTTGCATCTTGATTTTGTAGGACGAGTAGACTTTATCTGAAATAAATTCAGTTATTCAGTAAGTATTAATTCTTTCCCCTTTTTTCCCCTAGGAAAATTAAGCTGCTAGTGTGTATGGAAGAAGTCTAGTTACAGCAAAGTAAAAAACCAAACCCTACCTTTATGAGAGGAGCTAAGTTGAATTCACAGAAAAGAAAAAGCAGTAGCAGTACAGAGAGATTTTTGGTTCTTAGCTGTACTTTGCAGTTCAACAATGCGAATCTGTAATGTCTTACTACTGTTTCATGTCAGCAGAAACACATTTTGCTTACTTTAACATAATGTTTTCTGAGTTTGTGTGTTTTGATAAGGTATCACTTAGGACGCTTGCATATCTTTTTCGCTTTGATCTCTGGAGAAAATACTTCTGACAGCAGCTGCTTTCTGATTGATTAGTGCTGTAAGAATGCTAGACTAACATGGGTTTTTAAAATGTTATGTTGACTTACTTTGTCAGATGAAAAAGGAGCTTTGGATCAGAAGCCTTTGAAGCCACAAGCTCCTCAAGTACCACCCAAGAAGCCTCTTCCACCAAGCAAGACAAACAGCTTACTGAGAGCAGGGCTTCTGCACCCAAAACGTCCAGATAAACCTGTTTTGCCATCCTCTGTATCCAAGTCAGTATAACTTAAATTGTGTACACCAAATATATTTTACTTCGCTTGTTGTTTAATTTTTCCTTTATGGATGAGGTGTGAAAAAATTAGTTTTAAAGGTGAAAAGGCTGCAAGGACACCTACCAGTATCTTGGATCTCCAAGTCTTTATCAATCTGAGCTTCCTAATTCTTCGAGACATTGAATCCACGTGGCTCAGAGTAAATACTGCAGCTTAACTAGCAGTGGGGCAGATGAAGTTACAGATCTGTGGGCTGCTTTGCTTTAAGCCTGCCCCATAATGAAGTTGTAGCTACAGTAGCAGTGTGGTGTAAAAGAATATTGATGGGGCACTCCAGAATTATTGTTGTGTTGCAAAAAATGTGAATATTTGAGGTGCATCAGTGTTAAATGTTTCAGCACTTTTTATACACTAAGACAGATGGAAAGGAAGAGCTAAGCACAGCTAGTACCTGTGTAAAAGGAACGCAGTGCTGCTCATGTGCTCTTCTGGGGAAGAGACTGCTTCCTACAGACCCATCTCCAGTCTCTGTACTCGGTCTTGAGTATTCTCAGTTGAGTTTTTGGACAAATGGAGAGGGTAATAGCAAGTAATTGCTTGCTATTTCTTTTAGATTCACTTCAATTTTTCTAAAAAATGAGTTTCACATGATTATTTATGATGTTTCACTAATTTTGCATCAATACAATCCTCCCACCCCAGTTTCCCTTTCTGTCTCCGTCAAAGCATTTGCTAGATCTTTACCTAAAACTGTAAACCAACTGCTGACATGTGACTGTCCCTTTGGGATGTTTAGTTGACGTGAAAGAACCATGAGAAAGTGAGGTCACGATGCACTTGGCCTTGTACGAATAAAGGAGCAGACAAGCTGCTACATCAGAGAGCTTGCACCTTAAATCCCTGCAAAGATACCAGGTGGCAGCAAGCATTTGTCAAGTTTTGACCTTTTTTTACAGCAGGTCCTGTTTAGCTGAACCAAAAGGAAGAATCTCCAAAGGGAGAAACACTGGGGGTAAGGCACACACTTTGGAGGGTTGACTCTCAACAGAGGACAATCTAGATAGAGCTGCCTCTGATTCCACCCTGCCTAGCCCTGGGAACATTGGATACATGACTGAAGAATTAGACCGTTGCCTCTTCTGTTTGTTTTCAGTACATAATCATGTTACATGACTTGGTGTTTTGGAGAGTTCACCAAGTAAAGATTTTTATTCTTTCAAACCACAAGTCATGTTCTCCTCCCCCATTTTAGAAAATAATTATGGATATGAAAACACACGTGCAGTTAAATAGGAAACTCTGGTCTTTTAATAATTGAAAACTAAATCCTTGGGGTATTTAAAAATATTTAAATGTCTGAAAGTGTAACATTGCTCTGGGAAGATACGGCTGATTACCTTTTTTTCTACTGCAATTAAACTTCCAAATAAAGGATTTGGGAGATGACTTAACAGGGAAACATTGAAGCTGCCAACTGGTCCGTTTGTATACTTTATTTTTACGCTGTGGCATAAATGATGGCAAGAATTGTAAAGGAAAATGTTATCTGTTCGTTTTGTTTGTGTTGGTGGAGTGTATTTTTGTGTCCCTGGATGATGTGACAAGCCATGCAAAGAATTCATGGTAGAATAAAAGAATAGAATGGTAGAATACAAGATACTTTACCCTATACCCAGAAAATAATAACTTGTTCTTGGCAGCTTTTTTCTATATGGGAAGGATTTGATGTCAGTTTTTCAAGAGATACTAGTGAAGGTGCTGTTCAGCTCTCTTGTTTTCTGCTGCACTGAAGTGTAGTATTTTAATTTTAAGTGCCACAATGTGCCCTGTATTAAAAGTTTTGGATTATTTTCATAAGGCGACTGTACGTGTTTGACAACACTGCAGGAGCTGGGACAGAAGAATTGACTTTTATAGGACTAGAATTGCCCTCTGAAAGACTTGATTTTAAGCAAGACTTTAGAAAATGATAAAATCTACTGATTTTGTTTTTTGCATTTTCTTCTTGTTATGTTTCCATTATTAACTATTTCATTTCTTGACTAGGTGTGTCTTGTCTTTTTTTTTCTTACTATAGATCTAATGGAGAAGTTGTTTCTCTTCGACCGAAATCTGAAGTTGAGCCAGTAGCAAAACCAAAGTTAGACTCTGAACCGTTACCACTTAGACCAAAATCAGTAGAGGTAGATTCACTTGTGGTAAAGAGCTCTAAAGAATCAGGTAAAAAAAGAATAAAATGTCCTTTTGGGTCTTTCTGTTTGGATTGCAGTATTTTTACAAGGTTAGAATAAGCTTTTTAACTCCCTCAAAACACCACTGGGTGCAATTATTCCTGTTCGGTAGAAAGTATGTGTTTTTAGAACTGCGGTGGGTAGCTGAAGGTGAGAGTCAGTAAGCGATGAACAGATGCCAGTAGCTGTTGGGAGGTAGTTGATGAGTGCTGTGTTGTAATAGATGACAGGAGGATGGAACATAGGTAATGGTTTGTTCTTTACTTTGAAAGCATGTTTTTTTGCTGTCACTTTTTTCTTGCATTTTTACAAAATTGTTTTCCTTACTGACTGGTTCTGTTCATTCTGCTCTTGCATTTCTGATAACTTTTGCTTTTCTAGCTAACTTGCATATTTTTAGTAATGCCATTGCCTTCAATTTGGGCCAGCATGGTATATTGTACACTTAAATTTCATGCTTATGGGTTTATTTATTGCTCCTTGAGCCAAACCTGGCATCTCTTTAAACCTAAATTTGTCTAGTTAAACCTTGATACTGGCTAACATCGCCACGGTGAAAATCAGGCGCTCTGAGCTATTATGGAGTTACCTTTAGTCCTTTATGGACAATGCAACTGATTTCAGCCCTTTGTGTGCCTCTTAGGCAGAGATCATCTTCTGTGGGCATATATATTTTTTTAAACTGTAAATTATTTTTATTGTGTGGCTAACCACTGCAGGAAAAGCTTTAGTGAATTGTATTTAAGTGTTTGGTTGCATCTCAGGTGCAACCTTTAATCTCACAGAAGGTTTTAGTAAGAACACATTTTGAAATAGTATTACTTGATAACTCTTTTTTTACGGCCAATTATGGTATTCAGATTGTAGAATAGTTGGTACTAAAACATAACAACTTCTTATGGGGATAATAATAACGCATTAAAAAAAACAAAGCAGTTTATGAATAGAATACTCCTGCTTTGTTTCATTAAGCATTTAAAAATGTGTTTCTAAGCTTAAATCCTCTGTATGAGGAAAGGTTAGTTCATGTATGTTTTTAATACAGAAGTTACATTTTTCTGGACCACAGAAAGCTGTATGTCAGCAGGTATTAAAATATCCTGTAAATATTACAAATAATGTTACCCTAAAGTATAAGTTCTTTTTTTGTTCCCCTGTAAAAATCTGTGCATATGCTGTGTTATACCTTGTTTTAAAGGTTTTGAATTGGCAATTGAACTATATTCCCTCTATTTAAAGATGAGTATGATTGAGAGTATGGAAAAAAGACTTTGAGGCCAAAGTAAGCTGGGCAGTGAAAGAGTGATGAGCAAACTAACCCAAATAATGTAAGCCTTGTCCTGCTACTCAGATGTGTGTGTCTAGGATTGTTGAGGTGCGTTACTGTATAGCACAGCATCCTTTATCCCCAGGAAAAAAACTCCCCATGAAAACAGATAGAATGTGTTTTTTAATTTAGGTGCAATTGTCTTGACATCTCTAATAACCAGAGTGGCAACACAGTAGCTGTGATATCAGTTATTCATAAGTATAAAAACCTAATTCTGTACAGATTTAGAAAGAAACAAAAGTCTGAATTCTGATTCGCCAACATAGGATTTTACAGGCTCAGGGAGAAGTTAAAGATTCTAATACCTAGATGGGGCAGGGGATGGAGGTATGTAACAAGCAGGTGGTTGAGGTCAGTTGGGCGCTCCTTGTTTGGTGTGGAGCAGGCAGAGGAAGCTCTGGCAATCCGTGAGGGGATGCAGCACTGACAGCATCAGGTTTCAGAAATCCTGTTATGTGAAACTGCCCTTGTTTAAAACAATCCACGTAAGTCACTTGTGGTTTTACTACTGCTGTGAAAAGAGACTAGTCCAAACTCCTGGTACTCCAAAGTACTGGAGGACTCCAGTAAAAATGTAACGGATCTCTGGCTTTGTGTGCCTCTAAGCATTCTGCTGCTAAAGGCACAATACTCATGCAGAAGCCAAGGCTTTATGAACTTTGAAGATGTTGGGTCCTTATATAAAGTGAGATTAAACAATCTCACACAAGAACTGGGATTGATACTAAAACATGGGTAAGAATGTGTGGCTGGGGTTGGCAACTGTTACCAGAGTATCTTTTTTTTCTTCTTTTTACCCCTTTAGACTGAGGTCCTGAAGTGAATGAAATTTTAGAAAACCAGTTTCTTCAAGTATGGGTCTTATTTTTTTGCAACTTAGTTTGACCTTGAAGTGCGGTATAAGTTGAGCCACGTAGAACTTCGCCTGAGGAAAAGATGTAAATATTCTGTATCTACAGGGAAAAAAACCCAACCCACCCCATCCCAAAATTAGGCCCCCAGCCATCAGATAAGGACACATACTCAAAAACATTCAGAAACATTGATCATGTTGAAATACCTCCTCTTAAAGCTGTGTTTGAAAAATTGCTTAGATGTTTCTCTGTTCGATTAGAACTCAGGCACTGTAAAAGACTGAAGCTGTAATACGAGCATGCTGAACATGTAAAGAGATTCTGTTTCTTCTACAAATGTTTCTTTTTCCTGCTTTGTAAAATAATTTTTTTGTTCAGAATCTTTTTCTAGACGTTCCTCTCCTTGACTTTTCTTTCCAGATTTTGTTTCCTATCCTGTTTGCCATGTTTCCCTTCTTACGTGTCAGGAAATTACCCTACCCTTCTCCATTTTGGTAAGATAACAATCTATAAGGAAATCCGAATGCTTTGTGCCATACACATAGTCTCTTCTTAACATCATAAACGTGATTTTCAGTTGCGGTTATACTAAAATTTTTGGGTTTCACTTTAAAATGCTTTTTTTTTGTTGGTTTGACTGCCTGTTTTCCTTAGCTGTTAAAGTTGTTACTTTAATTATACTTTTCGATTAGGAGCTTGTGAGGATTAAAAAAAAAAGATAAGCTCTACAGTCCAGCCATTGATAAACCAGACCTAGTGTTTGTAATAAAATGTGTTCAATACTCACAGCACTTCCAGTGTATGTAGGCTGGATGGCTTTATCTTTCTCTACATGCAAATTATGCAGTTATGAAGCCTATTGGCACTGAATCCACTGGTGTTGGCTATTTAGTATCATGAGTCTTGTAAAACAGCACTTTGGAATGTTGTGTATTAGGACATGCTTAGCTGTAGCAAATACCTTTTCTCAGCTGCAAATTTAAATATTTTAAAGCTTTTATCTCTCCCCTAAATTGTTGGGGTGCAGTCTCAGCAAGATGAGTAATAGGAAAAAGGGCTGCCATCTTTTCTTGCTCTGCAGATTAATGTAAGGTCTTGTCTTTTAAAATTTTGGATACATTTCACTTCTATCGTGGGATTTTAAACCCCAGCCACGTGAGATGTTGGAACCATAATTTCTTTAGACACCCCATCAGCTTTGCTTCTTTTTGTTAAGGCTTTTAAAGACAAACTGCTATGAATACATTTGAAGTGTTCAAATCTTAACAAAACCTCTCACCTAATTCTATCTGTTAAAGCTCCTAACGGCTCCTAACAGTTCTGTTATGCATCCATGTTAAGCTTGCAGAATGGGCATTTCTAATTGTCTGTCCTAAGTAACTGTTCAAGCTCAGCTCATCTTTCTAGAAAGAAAGGTGCTCTTGCTTAGCCTTAATTTTTTGAATCAAATTACCCCCCAATGTATAGTGTTGCACTGTGATGAGATTCCCTTTAACAATTACTCACGGGCTGTCTGTAAGAAAGTCAATTGATAAATCACTTTATTGATGGAAAAGGGTGTAAATTGTGAACTTTTCAGTGGGTTTCATCAGTATCTCTATTGGTTTCAGTGCCCCCACTCTGTCACCTAAAATAATTAAGAATGCTGCTTGAAAAGAAAAACAGACTCACTCCCCAGACCCACGATAAAACAAACAACACCAGCACCACCAAACCCAGAAATCCTAATTCCCACCAGCCCGTGTCTTAATTTCTTCCCTATACCAAAGCAACAAAATGGAAAGGTGAAAAGGAAAATGCAAGTGTCTGTCAGAATTTCCTCTGACTGCACTGTGATGGTAATTTCATAATGGTGAACAGTTGTCTCAGGTGTAGCAATTCCTTCTGGAAGCTCTTAACAAATAGGAAAAATACTCCACCTGGCTTTAGTGTCACCCCACTGTCTATATTTAAATCATATACAATTCAAGGCTGTAGCAGTCTTCATCTTTAAGCCTTGTCAAGGGCGTTACAATCATAACAGCAGCTCAATTTACAGTTCTTATTTAAATTCACTGCCAAATGATTTGTCATTTCTGAAAAAGGACTGTTTAAAGGCAAAAATGACTGAGATGGGGTAAAAGGCACATAAACTTTTTTCCTGTTTTTTTACCTTTTTAATAATACCTAACTAATGTAAATCCTGATTTGCGTTTTGACATGGGTTAGTGCTCTGGGATTACTGACAATTGAGGAAAGAACGTGCAGATACACCCCTTGGTCACTGTGCTTGACATCTAATAAGTTAAATATTTTAACTGACTACAACAGAAATACCTTCATTATTACTTATTTTTCTCCCTCATGCTCTTTTCCGTCAGCTGCTTGCCATTCATCACTCTGTTTCTTCCTCCTTTGCTTTTCTTCCCTGCTTATTTTTAATTACAAATATGGTTACATGTTTACAAAAGGCTGTCTTTACATTCTCTTTAACAAAATTAAAAAGCAGCAAAACTGATTACTAACAGATAGTGTTATAAATACTTGCATTTCTACAAGGCAACAGGGATGAAGTTGATACATACAGGGTTGTCCAAAATATGTGAATATTTTAAGGACTTCAAGGATAGTAACGCAGAGTAGAAGACACTAAAATCAGTTAAAACATTCAGTGGAAAACTTAGTTCCTACAGCTATAAATTAGCTTTGACAATGCGTGAAAAATAAATAACCTATCTCATTACGCATCTCTTGGAAGGTAAGTAGTATTTTTGTGGAGAAATGGTTAACAAGTCCAGTTTGTTAACTAGGTGAACTACTTATGTTATTAGATCACATGTTCTGTTCTTCCTATTAGTAGTTTTTCCCTAAGGCAGCCACTTCCCATAGGTTGTAAAGAATTTCTGCTGATCTCTAAGGGAGTTTGCTTAGAGCTGTGACCATGAAGAGACTGATCAGTGAAGAGATCTATCTGATTTAATCAAGTATGAGAATGGAGTTTTCAAATGTTATGCTACGCACTTTATGAAGACAAGTATTTTCTTTAGACAAAGTACTGCATATGAAAAAACCCACCCTGCAGAGAAATATTTGCAGTTAATGTCTTGTTAGCTTTCTCTCACCCACCTGTGGACATGTAGTTTACCATGTTGCTTTTCATTTTGTCTGAGTCGCTAAACTTGGATTTTCATGCTTTTCATGCAGGTTTAGCGACAAGAAAGTATTCTGACTTAAATAATTGAATATGGCACCTCTCAAAAAATCTTGGCATAAATACGGAATCATAGAATCACAGAATGGGTTGGGTTGGAAGGGACCTTAAAGATCATCTAGTTCCAACCCCCCTGCCATGGGCAGGGACACCTTCCACTAGACCAGGTTGCTCCCATCCTCATCCAGCCTGGCCTTGAAGACCACATGTTTAGGTCTGTTTTGTGCAGCACTTCCTCTGAGAGCTTGAATTTAAATGCTGGTTGAATTAATCCCAGATTTTTTTCAAGGGGGAAAATGTGGTTTCCCAGATAAGTCCAAGTTGTTCCATGTAGCTGGTGTGTTGTCTATGCTGAAAATCTTTGAAACACTAAGAATTTGGGGGGCATGTGTGTGTTGTCTTAAGGCAAAAAGTGTTAAAAAAGAACACATCAAAACCTTCTGTTCTTGATGGTGGTCTGTGTTTTCATCTTCTAGATCTGTTAAGCTTTGATGATGTAATAGCTACCTCAGATAATCTATCACACCCTACTGCAAACCGACCCAAGATGCCTGGTAGGAGGCTGCCTTCACGTTTCAATAGCAGTAGTCCTGTGAGTATGTTGGTTGTGTTTCCCTCTTAGTGAACTCACTTCCCAGGAAGCAGGGTTGAACTGGAAACGGGCTTATGAACCATTTACCTGAGAGCAAAATGCTGTGGAGGTTAAGTTCCTACAGATTATCCATTCCTGGGAGGGAAGTGTACCTAAGAGAAACAATGCAACTGCATTATAGCTGGAGGAGTCTTTCTGCTCTCTGAGCTGGTAGTGCAGTAGGTACTCAACTCTTCCAGCATCACTGATGGTGAAGTAGGTATTGTGCATACACACAACTTTAAAAGTGTCTATAGTGCCTTACAAGCCTCAATATATAGTCTTTGGCCACAAGAAGTTTGTAATTCAGTGTTGCTGTGATGTGGGACTTGTGATCTCATATGCTAAGATACGAGATTGTCAGACCATGAGAACCAGGTGGTGCAGATTCCTTGAAATCAAATGGTATAATCAGGTGTTTTATCATCGAATCAGAGAACGGTTTGGGTTGGAAGGGACCTTAAAGACCATCCAGTTCCAACCCCCCTGCCATGGGCAGGGACACCTTCCACTAGACCAGGTTGCTCCAAGCCTCATCCAGCCTGGCCTTGAACACTTCCAGGGATGGGGCATCCACAGCTTCTCTGGGTAACCATTGCTCAGTCATGCCAGTTACCATCTACAGCTACTACCTGTTAAGGTGTGTGCTTTACGGAAGCACTTACAGGCTGCCAAAAGCATCAAGAACTTGTTAAGCAATGCAGAGTTCTTTGCAAATCCTGCCCAAGAATCCTATGTTTGATTTAGATTCAAATGAATGAGTATTGCAGGGAAGGAGAGTTCTGACTAGCAGGGAAAGAAAACCATGGTAGTCCAGCAATTTACGTTTGGGTTGGTTTTTTCTTTTGCATCTTTAGAAATGTGTGACTATTCTTTTTTAATTTAGTCTTTTTTTTTTTTTTTAATTCTGCCAACCTTTTCATTTTCTATGAATGGTTTACCAGACAAGTCAAAATGTGAGTCCTGAAAAAAATTTGAAGGTGCAGAAAGAAGAAGAAAGTGCCAAACCAAAGCCAGTTGAAACAAAAAAGGTAGGATACCAAGGAGCAAGGGAAGTACCAGGCAACTGGGTGTTCTGATTGTCGTGTTCATATTTCCAGTTTAGATTGATGCAACCACCTAAATGCAAATTATGGCATTTAAATGCAAGTGAGCCATGTCATTTTCATGAACCAAGGGGCTCCATTGTATCACACTAAAAAAGAAGTGGAGAACTGCAGTGTGAGTACTTTTTTAGTGCCTGCGGGAACCTCACAGAAATGCTTAATAAAGAGCTATATAAAGTAACTATCTTGGATACTACAATAGTCCATTTGAACTGGACGTTGGGTGTTTTTACCTTTTGGGTATAAAATTAAGGAAATTTGTGCTTCTGTAGCTCCCATACTAGTACAACCCATATGCTGTAAGTGGTCCATGCATAAAGATTTCAATTCTTGGCTTTCTACTGATTTATTTTTTCAGCCATCTGCATTCAGTCCACCAATTCCATCTTCATCTCAGAGACCAAGTTCTGGTTTACTCAACTTTTTTCCTGGAGACATCCAACTTAAAGGGGAAACGGATGACGACACAATTTCTGTGGAAGAGCTCAGGACTCAGATTAATGATTTGATGGGTTTAGTGGATGCACTGAAGAAAGAACATGGGTAAATGTTTTTCTTAGCTGTCTGCAAAGTGATATATTGACATCTTCTAAATGTCTTTAATGCCAGGCTGCTTAAAAATAAATTTATATATGAATATATTACTATTAATTCAGAGCTTCTTTCGTTAGGGTTTGGTCCAACTAGCAGATGTTCTAAGTATGTACAAATGTGATGCTAGAGTTTTTTTGGAATTTGTACGCATTTTTTCCTTCCTGCTTCGTGCTCCTGCGCTCATTGCAGCTTTCTGAAAATATTTCTTAGACAGTTAGTACTTTTCCTTACAGTAGAAGTAGGTAATTCTTGTGGTATTTAACATAAGGACATGTGCTGGCCTCGTGTAACAGTGCACATGAGTAATTGCAGTATCCACGTGACCGGAAGTAGGGGAAGATACTACAGAGCTTTTTGCATTGGTGATCAGGGTGGCCCTGTTATCTGTGTGCTTGTGGGTAGGGTTGTGTTTGGAGAATGAGGAGAAAAATGTGATTGGTGTACAAGTAAACATAGTAAAGACCAATCTGCAGGAAATTCACCTTTTCTGGTTTTAGTTTCACAGCACATTTTGGGTTGTTTAAATGGTGACTGGTGCTAACCAAACTGTCTTTGAGTGTGACCTCTTCAGAAGTTGTAACGCATCAGGATTAGTTGGTCTCCAAAGCAAGTTAGTAAGTTATGAGTTCTGGAGATTAATGAAATAGTCCTTCACTGACTTGATGATAATTCTTGCCTGAACATCGTTACGAAATAAAACACTCTTTAGGAACTTTCTGTTCTAAAGAATTTCTGTTCCCTATGTAGAAGTTGCCAGGTTACTTCAGCTTAAAGTCAACTCCCCTTAAGTAACAGTCCAAACTTTTAAGTAGCCTATTGAAAATTGTGCTATTAAGTTAGGGGTAGGTGCACAGTGATAGGTCAGAAGGGTGGAGAGTTGATGGAAGCTTGTGGTCCAACAGATAGGAGTACCAGTTCACTAGTGGACATGTACTTAGGTATAAGTTTTATTTATAGGCTGTGGCATCAGTTATGTGAATTCCTCTTGTAAAATTTAAACAATGCCTGTGCTAACCATTCTCAGTAATGTGAAATTCCCCCTCCACCCCCTCTAACTTGTATTTCTGATATCAACTACCATTAGGAGAGAACTGGAAAAACTGAAGAAGGATTTGGAAGAAGAGAAGCTGTTGCGAAGTAATCTGGAGGTACTGTTAGCAACTTGGGGGGGGGCGTGTTTAAAAACATAGAGGCAGTGTTTTGGAATTTGATGCCACAGGAAAGTCTTAATGAACCTGCTTAACCGATATTGTGTTGCTGTGTGGTTCAGTGAATGCCTCACGAGGCAGTTGGCTGTCTGTAGAAGATTCACAGCTGATCTTAGTTCAGCTTTCTTTTTCTGGAAAATTATGTTTAACAAGATTTATAGGTGGTGGGATGGGAGTTCGGTTTAGTGTTGCTAGATTCTGCTCTTCGCTCGAAACATGTACAACTGGACATCTTCCAGGAGAGAATATTAATACTTTACTTTTCTAAGATTGAAGGACAAATTGGCTTGATGTAATAAAAAGAAAAAACAGGACAGAAGTAAACTTTCCTAAATTTTTCAACTGTAAAAATACTAAGTGGATAATTTACCAAAAGAGCAGAATGCAACTGAAAACTTCATGAATGAATGAATACTGCTACTCTCAATTTCTTCATGAAGAAGGCTACATGCATTAGGGTGTGATGCCATTAAGTAGTTAGTAGGATGAGCTCACTGTAGAAAATTATTTCAGTCTGGTACAAAAAGGCATTTTATGTGTAAAATGGTACTTCTGAAACTTGAGAAGAACTTCTGGTGAGCCCTCTTTTTAATGCCCTTCTAAAGTAGTCAGTGCAGTTGCCTTAAATACGCACTGGGGATGAAGATGAGGCAACTTCCATGTATCCTCTAAATCCATATGAAGAAATAATAATTAATCACGGCACAGTATTTTCTATGAAGGCTGATTTAGGAAGTTAGTCTGAGATGGTGGAGTGTTACGTGGGGATGTGTCAAGTAATTCCACCACCTAGCTTTGACTGCTTTATTGAGAGTGAGTTTATCCAGTGAGATGTACCAGATCTATAGGCAAATTTTAAATTTGTTTTTTAAATTCTTGTTTGTTGAGCAATATAGCAGTGGAAAATCAGCTGTAAATATTCAGCTGTCGAATGCTTCTTCATTACAGTTTTATTTACTTCAGTGTCTTTGAAATATAAAGGTTATTGTTTTGGCGAAAACTCTGAAGAGTTTAGATTATTGATGCTTTTTAATACTGACTCTTTCTTTTCAAATTTTCCATTTTCCAGCTTGAAATAGAAAAACTGAAGAAAGCAGTGATGTCTACATGAGACAGCTATGGACTCAATGTTTTTAACTCACCAGGAATTCAAAGATGAACGCAAGGAGAACTGACTCTTATTTCACAACAGTGGATGCTGGTGTTCTACAGTCCTAAAGGAAAAAATATAATAAAAAAGGAATATAGTCTTTTATGCAGAGAGATAAGAAAATGAAAAAGAATAATGGTGTAATTTTTTTGCCAATATAACAGAGGCCTTATTTCTTACTGTGCTGGAATTGCAGACCTTATTTTTTGGTTTGCTTGAAAATACTACTGAATCTGTATAGAAAGGAGAGGGAATTCTTAATAGATTTTTATTGAATACCTGTAGCGTAATTTTTAAAGAGATCTATACTATAAATAGGGTGATTTATCTTTACAACTAATCTGTACAATAGTCTGTTGGGAGGGTTGGAATAACTGTATTGTAATCGTAGTCACTACTTTTCCCCTACGTGCAAAAGGGAATACATGATATTTGTATGATTTTGGCAGTCTTACCCAGGGTTATGCTGTTGTGCCTGTCTGCAGTGAGAATATTAATATGTTGGTTATAAGTTGACTAATGAGATAGGAATTTGGTAATGCAGTGAGGCAGGTGAAACTCCTATGCATTTTAGTGAGAAAGAATGAGCTAATCTGAGTAGTTTAGCAGAACGTTTTGTCACTTGCACTATTGGATTAAAAAGGGATTTAGGACTGAATCATGAATTATGACAAAATGAACTTTTAAACCCACAAAACGCAAGAAATACAGACACAAGGCTAGAATCCAGACTTAACCTGTTGTGCCTAAAATACTACAGCATACATCATGAAAAAAGTAAATCTTAAATCATAACGTCTGTGCTTCTGTGTATCTAAACTGAAGTCATCAATCCTTCTAGCGGTTAAATACACATCTTCATCTGTTTTTACAATAGTCAGGTTTTGTTTATAATATGTCTCCAAATAAATCCCTTTGGAACTTTGATACTTTCAAAAGGTCTCAATATTTATATATTTATGCCATAAACTTTCTCAGTATACTGTGTACCTCTAAATTTAATAATATCTTTGTATTGTAATGAGTGATTGGAGCAATTGCTTTGACAGCATTGTGCTGGCGTCCAGGACAGCATCTTTCATGTTTTATGGAAAACAGTTGGAATCTTGTGGATTGCCATTACCTTTAACCCCTGAACTCAACACAGTGCACCAGAATAATATACAAATAATATGTGAAGTGGTGGGAGACCATGATATTTATTGCTGTTTTTGTTTGATTAAAGAATTAGCATACAGCTTTTAAGAAGCCGGTCAAACGCATTACTTCTGTTAGTCATCACTTCATCTCCTTTTGGTCTACTAGAATTTCGATGACAAAAACATGCCACATAGTTTGGCAACTTCGCCAGTGAGAGAAGTAATTAAGTTTCTATTCATGGGAATAGTCATAAATACAGTAATTACTTGGTATGTCTCTTGCTCATGTGGCATGGACGTGTTACTTCCTGAGAGTATACTTTTTCCACAGTTGATGCATCATAAAATACGAACATCAAAAAGTCTTTTGGAGGATGTTTTTCAGTTGTTGATTTAAATTGGTCATGAAATTTCATTAATATATGCCAAATTATGCAGGAATTAGGTAATATTTGCTAGTCACATTGCTAATAAGCTGATTCAGTATTAATGCTTTTAATTGCCTAGATGCATCACAAGTGAAGACTTGAGCCAGATTGAGGAATAATGCACGGCAGTAAAGCTCCTCGTCAGACACTAAACTTAGAATTCGTACCTCTAAGTCAGGTGATGAAAAGCAAGAATTGACCCTAATGGAATAGCTGATTTTGTTATACAAGCTCTTCACTGTGATTAGAAAATGAAACAAATCTTGGAACGGATCGCTCTGCAGAAATCGCGTCTGCACGCAAGCTTGCAGCAGACGGACAGGAGACAATCAGTTAAAACCACCAACGAAAGGTGTTTGTTATTTAATGGCCTTTGTTCGCTATAGCAATAAATGACCCAAGTGCAATGACTTGATTTAATAAAACCCTCCTTTGGAAGTCGCTGCTACGAGTATTTTTAGCCATAAGGAAGTTGCCCTCGTGTGTGTCTGTTTTCAGCTCGTGTTACGTACTAGAGGGGAGGGGAGAGGGTAATGGTTTTGAAGGCATTCTACAGTACAAGTTCCTAAAGGCAGTATGCTTCACTGACTTGTTTACCGGTGCTGTAAAATGATGCATGCTATCCAAACTCAGCAAATAAAGTAAGTTTAAGTTTAAAAACCTGTGGAATTGTCTGCTTAGTTCTGTTCAGGAATGCTTCATATGCCATTACATTCTTTGCAGGAGAAATTCTGGGATGGGAGCAAAGTGTATTCTTACTGACATAGTTCCCCTTTCAGACTCTAACTTTATTCACTGGGATGCTCGGGTTCCTGACTGTCAGTATGGCTTAGGATGCAAACAGTTGGAGAGCTTACTGGTTTTCTTTGCAATTGTAACTGGGAATCTTAACTTCTCAGTATTGTTATTCCCCCTTCCTTTTTTGTCTATATTGAACTGACATTACTGTGCATCTTCAGAACTTTTTTTTTTTAAGATCCTCGCCACTCAGTAACATGGATAAATTCAGGATTTAATCACTTCTTAAGTACATATTGAAGAACTGAAGACAGTATGGCATGTTTAAAAGGGGTATGGATGAGGGAAAAGGGAAGGGCAGAACAACAGAAGGGCATTTTTAAACCTCAAGGGTTTTTATTCAATGTTTTTTCTAAAAGCTTTTGTTTGCATACAGGATAGGACTTTTTTTTTTGAAAGCTGTACTTATTGTATTGTTTTTAAATTATTTAAACAGTCACCATGAAGGTAACATTTTTCATTGATATGTTGGTTCAGGGGACTGAAGTTTGTGATGAAAACCTGTAATGTATCACAAGGATTGACTTTGAGTTGTGTAACAAAGTCTGTTGAGCTTTAATGACTACAAGGTATTTATTTAAAAATTATAAATCAGCAGAAGTCTGCTCTTTCCAAAGGTCATGCAAACCCAGGTTTTCACAGCTGCCTTGCTTTTGGCTGCTATTGAAGTTCTCTGAGATGTTTCTGATTGCTGGCTGCTGTCTCAGAGCAGTGTCAAAGCAGCTGGTCATACAGCTTGGGTCATTGGATCTTGCAAGGGCTGAAAAGACAAACCTCTCCTCCCAGCTGGAAGACCGCAAAGAGCCTCCATCAGCTTGTGAAGCGTGAGATGGGTGTTGCTGTGTTCAGGGTTTGGGGTGCTCCTCTTGCTTGTTGGAAGTCATGGTTTCAGTATCTGGGAGCACAGCTTCACACCTTTTCCTTCTGGGAGAAGCATGTGTGTGTGTCTGAGCGGTGAGTTGTGCCAGCCTTTGTGTCCTTCAGAGGTGTTGCTTAGGCTGAGGAGGTGTCCTGAGAGTCGAGGGGTGTTCAGTCTTGCCTTTGGGGCGAAGGTCCAGGGAGTGTGTAGAAGCACAATTCCAGGTGAGTAGGGGAAGAAGCTTTTTAAAACAAGTGTCCCTGCCTTGACATGATCTGGTGTGTTAAATTCTTAATGGAGCGAGTGGTGAGGCACTGGGACAGGTT